AGTAAGGAACCATCACTAAAATAAACGTGTTCTCCCTTGACGGATTTTAACAGCTTGTGCTGCGTTTCTGATGTCTGAAGCTGTTGTGAGGCAGGGCACGAGGCTGCCATGCTTTGGGTGACTGGCCCTGGATGAAATGCTTTGGGTGGGTGATTGTCCCTGCTCCTGGGCAGCAGTTTGGGATGGGTTGGCAGCATGAGAGGTGTTGTGGCAGGTCATCCCTCTCTGAGGCTGAGGAATGACCCACCCCAAGACCAAGCAGAGGGGCAGTTGAATGGCTTCAGCCATAGTTTGAAGCTGGTATTTGAAAGTGTTCTTTGGTTTTTTTTTCTGTATGATGAGGTGTTCTAGAGAAAGTTAATAGGGAAGTCATTAGGTTATGTGCCAGGAGCCTGGTTGGAAGCATGCTGAGAGGTGGGGTTTAGGATAAAATGAAGGGTAATGAGAGGGCTGCAATATAGAAGAGGCAGTGCCACAGGTGCAGGGAGTGAGGCAGTGGAATGCTGCAGAGCTGCCTCATCCCTGCACACAAGGAACTCTTCCTGCCCTTGCTGCACAGTGGGGGTATAGCTCAGGGGTAGAGCATTTGACTGCAGATCAAGAGGTCCCCGGTTCAAATCCGGGTGCCCCCTCCCCTTTTCCTGCTTTTTATCCAGAAAAAGGGGGGGGGGGGGGCTCTCCATTGCCATGTGTTTCCCCTTAACTGTCTGCGGGCTCCATCCTGGGTTTGACAGGGTGCTGGCCAGAGGTGAAGTTGATTCCTAAAGAATATCAGTGGGATGTTTGTGAGGGAAGAAATGAACATTTCTTGAGAAGCTGGTTTTTGGCCTGGGATTAATCTGTAGGGACTTTGTTGGGCTGGTGATTTATGGGGAGCAGTTGTGGGGAGCAGTTGTGCATGGGGGTATAGCTCAGTGGTAGAGCATTTGACTGCAGATCAAGAGGTCCCTGGTTCAACTCCAGGTGCCCCCTCTTTTTCTCCTCCTTCAGCCTGCCTTTTGCCAAAATAGGATCCAGAAAGGAGACTGAGAGCTCTCCCTGGGCCTTGTGAGGATGTGCTGTGCACTGAACGTTGGTTTCTGAGCTCCAGTGCTCAAGGAGCTGAGGCCCTGACTCTTAGGAAACTGGAGTGCACTGTGTAACTGCTCCCTGTCTGTGCGTGCACTGCTCTCTGTTCTTAATTCTCTGCAGTAATGACATTAATGATAATGCATCATATTTAACTGCCTGCAGAGGTTCTGTCAGGTGCATGAAGAGGCAGAGGGGGGTTGTCAAGCAAAGGGATCCCCAAAGCAGACAGCAGAACTTGTCTCTATATGAATGTTTCAGATGTCTCTTTTTGAAAGTGCATTGTCGAGGGGGTATAGCTCAGTGGTAGAGCATTTGACTGCAGATCAAGAGGTCCCTGGTTCAACTCCAGGTGCCCCCTCAGGAGTCACTTTTTCTTTAGGATTTTGGGGTGTTTGTTCACTGGAAGCCTGTGAACAGCTTCCTCAGCTTCCTCTCCTGTGCATTCTTTTGCATGTTAGACCTGGAGCAGAACAGTGTGGGGAGACTCTGCCCAGTCCTGTCCGAGACTCTTAAGGCCATGTCATGGAAGAGTGGACTCAAAGAGAGCAGACTGAGCTGGGAGGAACTGGGCCAAGGCTGTTTGGGGAATAGAGGAGTGTCAGTCTCCTGTGCTGGAATGTGGTGACTTGATGTCTTGTGCTGCTATTGTGCTTCAGCCTTGCAATTTCTGCCTCTGGATTGGATTCCTATGGAACAGAGAGGTCGGAGACTAGGCAAAGAACATCCTTGAGATGCTGTTTTGTTGGTGGCCACTGTGTACAGTGGGGGTATAGCTCAGTGGTAGAGCATTTGACTGCAGATCAAGAGGTCCCTGGTTCAACTCCAGGTGCCCCCTCTTTTTCTTCTCCTTCAGCCTGCCTTTTGCCAAAGCTGGTCCCAGAAAAAAGGTGGAGTGCTCTCTCTGGGCCTTGTGAGGATGTGCTGTGCACTGAACGTTGGTTTCTGAGCTCCAGTGCTCAAGGAGCCGAGGCCCTGACTCTAAGGAAACTGGAGGGATTGTGCACTGTGTAACTATTCCCTGTCTTATGTACTTCTCTGTTCTTGATCCTCTATTGCAATTCTCTGTACAGCCTTTTGGGAGGAACATTAAGGGGCAGAGGTGGCTGTCAGGTAAAAGAGTAACCAGTGAATAGAAAAGGCTGGCTCTCTATAGAAATGCTTTTAGAACCTCTCTGTGAAGGCATGTTGCCACGGGGGTATAGCTCAGTGGTAGAGCATTTGACTGCAGATCAAGAGGTCCCTGGTTCAACTCCAGGTGCCCCCTCTTTTTCTTCTCCCTTAGCCACCTTTTTGCCAAAAGTGGTCACAGAAAGAAGACCAAGAGCTTTCCTTGGACCTTATGAGGATGTGCTTTGTGCTGAAGAGTGGTTTCTGAGCTCTGTTATTCAAGGAGCTGAAGCCCCGAATAGGGAAACTGCAGGGGTTGTGCACTGAGTAATTACTCCCTGTCTCTGTGTGTACTTTTGTCCTTAATTCTGTGCAGTAATGACATTTATGGTAATGCATCACATTTAACTGCCTGTAGAGCCTCTGTGAGGCACATGAAGAGGCAAAGGGGGTTGTCAAGTAAAGGAATCCCTTAAGCAGACAGCAAAATTTGTCTCTATATGAATGTTTCAGATGTCTCTTCTTGAAGATGTGTTGCCAAGGGGGTATAGCTCAGTGGTAGAGCATTTGACTGCAGATCAAGAGGTCCCTGGTTCAACTCCAGGTGCCCCCTTTGGGTTGTCCTTTTCCTTCACGAAGAACTGAGCATTCCTCCGTTTCAGCTCTGCTGTCCTTGTCCTGCCCATGACGGCATCTCCAAAGGCCAAGATTGAAGATACTCAGCTGAGCACTTAGCTGAACACTTCCTATGGGAATGGTGTCAGTGACGAAGCAAAGACACAAAGGTTATTTTGATAGAAGAGGAACCTGCAGGGGATCCAGTTTGTGTGTGTAATTAGGCCCTGTCCATATGTGTTTGTCTCCAGATTGTGTAGAGAATGTTACAGAGACAATTTTGCTTGTACATTAGCATGCAGACAAGGGTGCTGTCCTAGTGGAATGTGTCCCTGCCAGAGGCAGGGGGTTGGAAGTGGATGTTTTTTAAGGTCCTTTCCAACCCAAACCATTCTGTAATTCTATAGCATGACCTAACCAGTGGACATAGAACTAGATGAAGTTGTGTGCTGTTCCTCGTAGAAACCATCACACAGGGGGTATAGCTCAGTGGTAGAGCATTTGACTGCAGATCAAGAGGTCCCTGGTTCAACTCCAGGTGCCCCCTCTTTTTCTCTTCCTTCAGCCTTCTTGCCAAAACTGATCCCAAAGACGATGGAGAACTCCCCTTGGATCTTGTGACTTGTGCTCTTCACTGCTTTCTGAGCTCCATTGTTCAAGGATCTGAGGCTCTGACTAAAGAAAACTGCTGTGCACTGTGTAACTACTCCCTCTCTATAGACTTCTCCCTGGTTTTGATTCTCAGTAGTATTCTCTGTATGGCCCTTGGTAGGCACATCAGGAGGCACAGGGGGTGTTGGGTCACAGTCTTACCATGGACAGAAAAGCTTGGCTCTCTGTAAAACCCTGCTTATGTGTGTTGTCAGGGGGTATAGCTCAGTGGTAGAGCATTTGACTGCAGATCAAGAGGTCCCTGGTTCAACTCCAGGTGCCCCCTCTTTTTCTCCTCCTTCAGCCTGCCTTTTGCCAAAATAGGATCCAGAAAGGAGACCGAGAGCTCTCCCTGGGCCTTGTGAGGATGTGCTGTGCACTGAACGTTGGTTTCTGAGCTCCAGTGCTCAAGGAGCTGAGGCCCTGACTCTTAGGAAACTGGAGTGCACTGTGTAACTGCTCCCTGTCTGCGTGCACTGCTCTCTGTTCTTAATTCTCTGCAGTAATGACATTAATGATAATGCATCATATTTAACTGCCTGCAGAGGTTCTGTCAGGTGCATGAAGAGGCAAAGGGGGGTTGTCAAGTAAAGGGATCCCCAAAGCAGACAGCAAAACTTGTCTCTATATGAATGTTTCAGATGTCTCTTTTTGAAAGTGCATTGTCGAGGGGGTATAGCTCAGTGGTAGAGCATTTGACTGCAGATCAAGAGGTCCCTGGTTCAACTCCAGGTGCCCCCTCTTTAGCTGCTTTTAGGCCCTCTTCTCGTCTGGAATCTGCTCACAGACAGTAGAGAGACTTTCTTACCCTTCTGCGCTCTTGGCAAAATCACCTGCTGATCGTTTTGCAGAGTTTGCCACGTTTCAAGCTCTCCTGAATCCTGCACGTACATGCATACGCTGGCTAACGCAGGTGCTACTGCTCCAGTTTTTCCTGTTTGAGTAATTGCCATTAATTTAACCACTAACCACAGCGCTTAACCCTTTTCTAGGAGCGGGATCTCTGCTCAAGGCGCACCGGGGCAGTGCTGTGGGGCTCAGCGGCTTCCTGGGTGCTGAACCGACAGGGAATCACTGCCTGCGCCCCTCGCGGGGCTCGAACTCGGCTCCTTCAGCCCCGCAGCCCGACGCCCTGCCCCTGCGCCGCGCCCCCGCCGCAGGGCTCGAGGGGCGGGGGGGCTCTGCCGGGGTGAGGTGGCGCAGGGGGGACGCGTCGGGCCGGGAACCGGGAGGTCGCCGGTTCTAACCCACCCAGGGCCGCTACCGCCAGCAACGGGACCCGGAAACCGCCTTTATACATGGCAATGCGGAGAGCTCCGGCTCGGGGGCAGCCGGGTTTGAGCTGCTTTACGTGTGGGAGGGCTTTCACTACTGTTCGGTGTCTCAATTGCGGGTTGTTTCGCTGGGGTTTACGGTGTTTGTTCCCTACCGAACCGCACCGGGAGGCGCCCGGGCCCGGCCGCGCTTCAGCTCCGCCGCCATCTCCCCGCCTCCCCTCAGAGAGCCGCGGCCGGAAGTGACGACTTTGAGCCTGAGCCGCGCAGGACCGTCGCGCCGGCGGCGAGTGTTGGTGACGCACATCCGGGCCCGGTATCCGCGGAGACGACAGCGCCCGAGCGGCCGCCGCCATGGGGGGAGGCGACCTGGTAAGGGGGGGGGACGGGGGGCACCGGAGAGGCTCCGGGCACCGCTTTGGGCTTGGGGCCTTCCCCAGCCTTGGCAGCGCGGTGATGGGAGGGCGCGGTTGGCGTTGTCCGGGGCCGGAGGGCTCGGAGCGGGCCCTTGTCGGCCTCCGGCCGTGAGGGCAGACGGCTCGTGGTTAACGTGGCAGCGCGGTGTCTCCCCTCCCGCAGAACCTGAAGAAGAGCTGGCACCCGCAGACCCTGCGCAATGTGGAGAAGGTGTGGAAAGCCGAGCAGAAGCATGAGGCCGAGAGGAAGAAGATCGAGGAGCTGCAACGGGAGCTGCAGGAGGAGCGGGCGCGGGAGGAGATGCAGCGCTACGCTGAGGACATGGGCACCGTGAGGTGAGGGGTACCCCGGAGCCTCAGCCCTGCATGATGAGGCGTTGCGTGTGCCCCTGTCGATGGGTTTAATGTCTCTGTTGGGGGGTTGGAACTGGATCTTAGGGCCCTTTCCGACCCCAACCGTTCTATGATGAGAGGGTTCTTTAGGTCAAAAAGACGTTGCCACTCTCCTCCATAAGCCACTGCCTTAAAATGTAACTTCAGAAGCTTGAGAAGGGAAATAAGGTGGTCTTGTTTGCAACAGGAAAAAAGAAGAGAAGCTGGAGTGGATGTACCAGGGTCCTGGCGGCATGGTGAACAGAGAGGAGTACCTTATGGGTCGCCCTGTGGACAAATACATCTTTGAGAAGATAGAAGACAAGGATGCAGGCTGTTCCAGTGAGACAGGGCTTCTCCCAGGCTCCATTTTTGCCAAGTCGGGTGCCAATTCTGTCCTGGATATGGCAAACAAGATCCGGGAGGATCCGCTTTTCATGATAAGGTACTAAGTGAAGCCTTGAAAGCAGCAGTAGCTGAGGCAAAGCACCAGGAGTAGCAACCCCCTAAGAAATGTCTTATTTGCCTTTGTAAAGGCTGCTGTGGTGTGTGTGTCTCAAAGCTACAGCTGCCTGTTAGTGAGCTCTAGGCTGGAGGTGGCGGTCCTGCCTGGGAAGAGGTCAGAGGCCCTCTTCATGACTTGTAGGGTTTTGGTTGTTGTGTGTTCCACACACAGCAACGTGACATCAAAGAATGCATTTGAGGCAGTTTGCTGCTTTGGGGTAACATTGCTGACTTGGTTTCAAATCTAAGGCTTTGTGACCTGAACAAGCATGATGATCGTGGAGCTGGAAGTTGGGAAATGCAAAGATTATTACTCCACATTGATTCCCCTCTCCCAGCTTAGCTCACCCTTGCATGTGTATGAATATATGTGCTCTGCTGTGATTATTAGGCTTTTCTTAGTGTTGTGGGCACATTGATGGTTAATAGAAGAGCTTTTTGTTTTCCCTACTGGTTGCACTCTTAACTGGAGGAGGACAGGGCAGACACCTCCATAGCTGGATCTGCTTTGAATGGACACAACTTTCCTGCTTGATGTGTTTGTAGAGCTTGCACTTGGTTGGTACCCTTTATGAAAAGCTGGTATTTTTCAATTGTTTGAAAATCCTGGTTATTTTTGAATATAGGAAGAAGGAGGAGGAAAAGAAAAGAGAAGTGTTAAATAATCCTGTGAAAATGAAGAAAATCAAGGCACTGGTAAGTCTATCTCGGTGCCCTCTTACAGACTGAAAGCACAGAATGCACTGAACCAAGGAGAGGATCATAGGTCAAAATCAGTCTCCTTTTAGGATAAGGAGCTGAGTTTTGTTTCCTGACTCAGGAAATTCAGCTTCCTATAATCCTCATAGCATAGAATAAGGGTCTCAAACTTCTGTCTGCAGGAATCAGTTTCTCCTCCTTTCAAGTTCAGTTTTATTTTACTCTTCTGATGTGCTTTGGGTTTTGTTAGCTGGTGATTAATGCTTTAGTACTACAGGGTGATTGCAGGCATAGGGTGTGACAAGCACTGATACCAGACTGTCACTAGGGAGGACTCCTTTAACCTCCTTAGTTCTGAGAGAGAGGACCTTGTTTAATGCTTTAGGTTTTGTTTCAGGAGCCTTTGCACAGAGAGCTCTGTTCCTTACCTTGTGGTGCTAAGTGTGGTCCCAGTCATTCTCACTAAGGAACCGGTCTCTTGCTTTGTAGCTGCAAAGCAGTTTAGAGAAAAAGGAGAAAAAGAAGAAGAAAGAGAAGAAGAAGAAGCACAAGAAACATCGACATCGCAGCTCCAGCAGTGGAAGTGACAGCAGTGAGGAGGAGCGAAGCAAAACCAAGTATGTTTGGAGGCTTGATACTAAAAGTACCTTGTTTGCTGGTTACTTGTTTTTCATGCATCCTCTCTTTGAGTCTTATCATTCTAATGGGTGCTCTTTATTTCCCTCAGTGTTGTTACTTCATTGGGTTTGCATCATTAAATTATTCTTATGACATTTTAATGTGGACAAAAACCCGATGGTATTCTTGAATTTCCTCTGCTTCAGAAGCCCTGTTCTGTTTTCTCTTTAGGTCTCAGAAGAGGGTGAACAGTTCATCCTGGAAACCTGCTCCTCCCAGAGTCACAGGATATGGCTTACAAGTAAGTCCATGTGTTTTGCACAACTCCTTCAGTAGCAGCAGCCCTGAGTTAGGGAAGAAAAGGAGTTTTGGCAGTTTGTTGTGAGGCTCCTTCACCAACTGCAAGAGGATTTTGAGGGGGACATGGTATAATAAAGTTTGGATTCGTTTTGGAGCCATCTAGACCTTTAAGCTAAAGTTGTTCAGATCCTGGTAGGACTTTTGTCTGCTCTGAATTCGAGTTAAGCTTGATTTAGTTTCTCTTCACATCACTACCCATCTGGTTTAATCCTCTGCTGGACTGTCTTGGCAGAGGTCTCCTCTGTGGCCTTCCATTGTTGTTGTGCTCTTACAGGGCATCTCTCCTGAAAACACTTTTCAATTCCAGGTTAGAGACTCTGAGCAGAGCCACAGGTCTCGGAGCTCTCCAGTTGCCACTCAGGAGAGGGGGTCCCACAGGCACCGGGATCGCTCCAGGTCCAGGAGCCGGTCCCGCTCGAGCAAGAAGAATTCAGAGCAGCCTGGATGCAAGAGCTCCAGATCTCCTCTTAGACACAAACAGTGAGTGTGGCTGACCTGGGTGCTGTAAACCACAGGCTGCTTGTGGGGGGAGAGTTCTCCAGAGTCAAAATCCTCTTACTCAGTCTCCTACCACTTCCTGTCCATGTTATTGCTGGGTTCAGGGTGTAAAGGCCAGAGCTGTGCTGCTGTTGAAGGGAGCAGAAGCACATGGGGCAGTCCCTAGTGAGGACATGCTCTCTTTGCGCTCTTCATTTGGGACACCCTCTGTCTAGGAGCACGCTTTAGGTATTGCCTGTGGCTGTGCTGCATTTGGGCTACTGATACCTTTTCAAAGGTATTTAGAATTGTTGAATTACCTTGACTAAATGCTAAATGGTATTTATTGTTTGCTAAAGTAATTAAAACTGAGTAAAATAGATGGGAATTCACGGTATACTCACTAGAATTGGGTTTGAGAGTGGACAGGGTTTGAGAGTCCTGCAGTTGTGAGAGAGATCTCGGTTTCCAACTGTATAGAAACAATCCAGGGCAAGCTTAGAGGTGTGATCATGTGTGTTTGTCTGTCCTACTAAGGGTAGTTCTGGGTTACAGGCACAGCAATCGGGAGGAGAAAGGGAGAGCCAGAAGCCCTTCCCCTAAGAAGAGCTACCGACGACAGCAGACTCAGGGTTACACAAGGTGAGGTCTTGTCCTTGTGCTTTTGGATGGAAGTTGCCCTGGTGATTGCAGGTGTAATCTGTGAACCAAGTTTTCCTCTGTTAACTAAAATAGATTGGATTGAATGTCCAGAAAGTCAGACAGGGAGTCCTAAAGTGCCCTGTTTTGTGCTCTGGAGCTTGGCTGGTAGTTTCCATCTCGGCCAGCTTCCTGAACCAATGCATGTGGTTGTTGGTTCTCCATGTGTCTCATATCACTATGCAAGGCAGTGACACGAAGTCAGTCTAAGTGCCATGGATTGTTAATTAGAAAGGTTCTGTTTCACTGCTAACAAGAAAACAGGACCTTGACAGCATCATCTTGAAACCCAGAAGGCTGCAAAGGGGGAGAAACCAGACTGTTGTTTTTTTAGGGGTGTGGTAAAGCAGAACACTTAGACCTGTATTGACAGACTGGCTGCCAAAGGAAAAATCCATGTTAAACACCTTGGTTTTGGGGGTTGTAACTCAAAGAATGGAAAGCAAAGGTCGGGGAGGGGGGGGTTGCCCAGCGTGCTGTTGGTTCAGAGCAGTGATGTCTTCAACACAACAGGAAGATCTCTCCGGAGGAACTAGAGCGTAAACGCCAAGAAATGATGGAAAATGCCAAGTGGCGGGAAGAGGAGAGAGCAACCAACCTCAGGAAGCACCAAAAGGAGGAGGAGCAGGAGCGGGAGCTGGAGAAGCTCGACTCCAGAGATGGGAAGTTCTTCAAGTGAGTGTCTTTTAGGGTCTGCTTTTGCACTCAAGGGAAATACAGGCCATAGCGTCTAAAAGAGAGAGTGATGGCCTCAATGTTCGAGGTGCTTCAGATAATGGTGTAAGATCCATCTCTACTGTGTTTTGCAGTAGAACTTAACATCTACTGTTGCCAGACTCTCTTCTGCACCCAAAAGATAGGTATTTCTGTGATGGCTTTGGCAGTCAGACTTGGGAACCAGCAATCAGGTTTTTTTTTTGCCAACCTCTGGAAATACCTGGTAGTGCTTTACATATTTAATACATAGATATTAGAAAATTCTCTGGTTTTAGGAGCTTTCAGCAGTTTTCAGCCTGCAAACCCACTGTGTGCCAAGAGCTTGTTGGGTACGGCTTTCTGACCCACAAGAAATAAGACCATTTCTAAACACGGGTGGTAACTTACAGTCCTTTGTGCACATGGCAAGCAAAGGAAATTGCCTTCCAGAACAGGCAGTGGTGTGTCATAAAGGTCCCAGGGCAGTGTTAGGTAGTTTGGAGTAGAGTTTTTCAGGCTCTATAAATTAATCAGAGGAGAACTCTGATTTCCAAAGCTGCCCAGAGCTGGGATCACACAAGGGTGGCTTAATCACAAATGTCATGGAGAGGAATTTTTTACCAGGGCCTGTAGGGACAGGCCAAGGGGAATGGCTTTAACCTGCCAGAGGGGAGACTGAGATGAGCTCTTAGGCAGAAGCTCTTCCCTGTGAGGGTGCTGAGGCGCTGGCACAGGGTGCCCCATCCCTGGCAGTGTTCAAGGCCAGGTTGGCCACAGGGGCTTGGAGCAAGCTGCTCCAGTGGAAGGGGTCCCTGCCCATGGCAGGGGTTGGAGCTGGAGGAGCTTTAAGGTCCCTCAACCCAAACCAGTCTGGGATTCAATGATTTTTTTGTGGTTCCTTGTGCAGCAGCATGGGGCTGAGCTGATAAACATGGTGTTTATTGCATATTAAGAGACAGGCAGGAAGGGATTGTTCATCAAAGCACAGCACTGGGATCTGAAGTAGCAGAGTCAAGTGAGTGGTCACAAGGATCCCTCCTCTCTCCTGTTACTGACATAGGCATGTACAACACGAGCTCTGGTCCCTGGAGAACGCTGCCTTCCCTTCAAGAACACTTTGCTTTTCCCTTGCTTGCTTCGTAGAAAGCAACCAAATCCCCACTGTGCTTGTAATTAAATGGAGGAGGCTGGAGAGCTGCTGCAGATGTATTCCTGACCTTAAATCAGGCCTTGGAGCTGTTACAAGCCAGACTAAAAGGTGCTCAGTTTAATGCAGACTTTAATAGGAGCTCATTCGCTGGTTTCTCTGTTAGATTGGGGTAGATGACTCGGGATGAAGAGTCCTGCTGGAAATCATGTCATGTTTAAAAGAGATTTATCAATCCTGAGTTCTCTCTTTTGGCTCAATTCCCTGCAGTCGCTTAAAACTGGAGAGTGCATCCACTTCCAGCCTGGAAGATCGGGTGAAGCGCAATATCCACTCCCTCCAGAGGACTCCTGCTGCCTTGGAAAGGAACTTTATGCAGAGATGAAAGAACTTCTCCCTCTGCCACTGTGCAGAATTGAAACGGACACTTGCTCCCAAAGGTGAGAGGCCTCCAGCACAGATCCCTGCTCTCTACAGCAACACTTCCCATCTCCCCAAGAGGTGCTGGATTGCTGCGCGCTCAGGACATTGCGAACATGTTTGTAGTGATGTGACCTTGCAGGAAAACCTTTGCCGGAGAACTCGTGAGCTTTTGTATCCCGTTTTTAACCTATGGCCACGTCTTTTCCTTCTCTCCCCACCTTGACCGGGATCACTTTTGTATATTGTCATTACCAAATCCTGCCGGGCGGTGACTGCTTGGAGCAGATGGTCCAAGCTCTCCACCTGACGGAGCAAAAGCCCTGGTTTTGTTAGTCCTTAAACCCCAAACTGGTACCAATTCACACGTGAGTTAATTTGGTGGAATCTGATGAAGCTATGCGAGTAACGGACAAAATCCCATTCAGTCCTGTGGCTGAGTGGGGCGTGGGTTTGGAATGTGTCATCTCCAAAAGCCCTGGGGGTGTTACTTGGTTGCTCGCAGATGTCAATGATGTTTGACCCAAAAGGAGTCATTGCTCCGGGGGGGCAAGGTAAGGAGCAGAGCTGGCACACGGACGGTTCTCTGGGGTTTTGTAAGTAGTGTGTATATGTACAGCGCTGTACATCTGCCTTTTCCTTTTTGGAATCGTAAGAAACTTCCCTCTCCTATTTAAATGCTTCTTTGTGGTGTTTGGGGGCGGAAGGGGCGGGGAAGCCTTTGTGAGGGCCCAGGCGGGCTCTAACCGGCAGTGGTGGCCCCTTCTCGGCTTCATCCGAGCTCCCGACCCCGGCGCTGCGAGACCTGGAGGGGGGAACGACCCTCGGGGGCCGGGGGGGGCCACCCCGCGCAGCGCCGATCCCCGTCCTCACCCTGGGAACGGCGGCCTGTGACGTGTGCAGCAGTCCATTCATAAGTCCGGGCGCCTCGCTGCTTATTGGTCCGTGTGTAGCGGGGCGTGGCCCGGGCGGGGTCGTCACGCCAACTGGGCGAGACCATCGCCGGGAAGAGGAGGAGGGAAGGGCGTTTTCTTTCGCCTTTTTCCCTCTCCCAATGTCCAACCTTTTCCGTTGCTCTCTGTCCCAGCCTGAGCCGTGCAGCGGTTCTCCTCGTTTCTACCGCAGCTCCAGGCGGAGCGAAGCGGCGGCCAGCGCAGCGCTCCCGTTCCTCAGCATCCCGGACTCCCCCTCCTCGCCGAGAACATGGTGCCTCCCGCTCCCCACCTCCGCCGTCCGCCGCCATCTTGGCGCCTCCTCAGCGCGGGGCCGGAGCGGGCTCGGCCGGCCTCAGCGGTGGAGCGAACCACCGCGGGGGCGGGGGGGGGGGGGGGGAAACAGGGGGAGGCGGGGACGGAACCACTGCGGGGACACCCGGGGGGGGTGTGGAGAAGCTAACGGGCCGGATCGGACCAACGGGCAAGGGCTGACAGGAGCGGGCGGTACCACCGGGGTAGGGGCGGGGGGCGTGTGCCGGCCCGGGCGGAACCATGCGGAGGCGCTGGTAGGGGGGGCTCCCGGAGGAGGGGGCTCGGTCCGGTTGCCGGTGCCGCTGCCATGGCCTCGAACTGCGCGGGGGGCTCGGCGGCGGGGGGCGGCGGGGCGGCGCTGGGCGCGGTGCTGAGCGCCAGTAAAACCAAGACCAAGAAGAAGCACTTCGTGTGCCAGAAGGTGAAGCTGTTCCGGGCCTCGGAGCCGCTGCTCAGCGTCCTCATGTGGGGAGCCAACCACACGGTGAGCGCGGGGCCCCTCGGCCGCGGACATCCTCATCCCGGGACCCCCAGACCCAAGGGACGGAGCCTTCATCCTCCTCATCCCTCGCCCCCTCCCTCCTTCCCTCAGGCAGGGCTCAACCCAGGCCCCTCGCCCCCCCACACCCCTTTACCCCTTTATCGCAGCCTTTCCCCCCCCCCCCCCCCCCCCCGGCAGTCGATCCCTTCCCTGGATCCCTGCTCCCTCCCTGGATCCCTGCTCCCAGCGCACTCCCGGGTCGGCACCGCTCCCTCCCTTCCCCGGCCCAGGGAGCCCTGTGAGGGCTCCGCTGCTTCCCGCTTGTGTCCCTGTGGTGCCGTTCTTGTGGGGCTGGGGCTCCTTCCCCAGTGTCCAGGCGGTTTGGGAGCCCCTATGGATCAAGGTGGGGTGTGTCGGGTTCCCCCCCTCCCTCCCCGGATCAGGGTGTGTTCCCTCTCCCTATGGATCGGGGTGTCCCTGTCTTTCTCACTGCTGCCAGACACGTCCCTGTGCCGGAGCACGCAGCCCCCGCACACCCACCCGTCTGCCTGCGGCCTCTTCCCAACCCCTTTTCCATCCCCTCTTCCTCAGCGCTCCTGGGTCTTTATCCCGGGATTGGGGGGGGGGGGGGAGCGATGCCCTTTTGGTTAATGCCCCTTTGTGCAAGGTGCTGGTGCCCTGAGCGCATCCCTTTGACACCCCCTGTCCCATCCCTATGGCACCGTTACAGCGCGGGGTCGAGGTCCCACTCGCACGGTGACAGTCCCGGTCTTCACAGTGATGCCTCTCATCTCCATCCCAAAGGACAAAAGGGTCTTTTGGCTCCGTTCTGCCCAACCTCGTGTTCCCTTTGACTTCAGGCTTTCGCTGCTGGACTCTTGGTTTCTCTGGGTGATGGCTTGGTCCAGGTCTCGCTCAGGAGGGGGCTCCCTTGGGAATGCCTGTGATGGCTCAGTGCTTTCATCCCTCTCCTTTGGAGGTTCCCAAAGCCAGCTTTCATGTTTTGGCTCTGGAAACTTCTCCCTCGTCTCTGATGCCAGGCGCAGATCTCGTGCTGGGAAGGAGGATTGATTTACCACTGCTCTCTCCGGGATGTGGGGAATGGATGCTGTGCATTCAGGTAGTCAGAGAACCCACAAACCTCATCCCTTCCTAAGTTAATATGCTCCTAGGGCTCAAAGACACCTATAGTGGATTAGTGGCTGTTTCCTAGAGAGTGAAAGGGATTTAAGCTTTAATTTTTGCAGGTACCAATAGCACACACACACACAATGATGAGAATTGCATTTCCAGCCTGCCTGATGCTGGAGTGAAGCTTCCAAATGTAGTTCAACGCAGCTGCCTTTCTGAGTCAAAGGATGTTCCAGTGCTTGCTTGCTCAGAGCCTTCCCAGGAAGCAGGGTAATGAGTTTTAATGAGGCTTTGATCAGTGGAGCCCTGAAGAAATGGAAATCGGAGGGATTCTTTGGAGTTTCATCTGCGGCCCCTTAGGGACAGTTGTTGCTTGGTGGCAATTACCCTTTCTGGGGTGAGCTTCTTGTAGCAGGAGGGATCTGGCAACTTTTTTAGGCACTGGATCAGGGCAATGGGATTTCTGGAGCACTTGGCTATGAAATGCTTAGGGAAAGGGAGGAAGCTGCGGTGGTGGTGAGCACAGAGCTGGTAGTGAGGCTGTCTCCAATGGGTGTTCTGAAGAAGCTGCTTCCAGAAAGGAGGACCCGAGGGGGCTGGGAAGGGGGTGAGAACGTTTCAGCTGTGACCTCCTCACCCTTGGAAATCCAGGGTTCCCCAGCAAATTCCTGCTGGTTTTCCTCCATCTCTCTGCTGCCGATCTCGGTCTGGGTTTGGGTGACTCCTGTGAGTGCCCGAGCGCTGTTGAGGTGGCTTTGATGGCACTTGAGCTGCTGCTCATCCCAGTGTGCGGCTGGGAGATGGTGTGGGTGCTTTATGGGAAGTGGGTGTGGGCAGGACCTGTCCTCGGGGGTACCATGGAGCTTCATTCAAAACCTCTTTTCTGGGGGGTTCTTTAGTATTCGGCTCCTGCGCCACGGCTTTACAAGGAGAGGTGAATCTCTTGGCTGTGCCTGTGGAGCCCTCCCTTGGGGTCTTCTATAGCAGGAGGAGATGCATGGCTGTTGGCGCAACCACGAGGCTGTGCCAGGGAGATCCTGTCCATTTGGGATGAACCTTTTAGTGGGCAAAGCAACCAGAACACCCATTTTCTCCAATCCACCATTTCTGTTGACTGAAGGCATTCCCTTGGGTCCATTAACCGAGTCTGGCAACAGCTCGGCCCTGCCTTGTGTTTAAACAAGCCTGTGAGCAGCTGGTGTGCATGCAGACAGTGCTGGCTCTGGAGAGGATCAGGAGCAGGGATGCTGGCACACCAAGAGCAGGAGCTGGTTTCTGGAGCACCAGTTTGGAGCCTTTCTGGGTCTTAGCTGTCATGGGGCTCCCCAGCCAGCGTTTAAACTGCCTGGATTGGGATTGGGGTGGGACTGGGGCTGGTTTAAGCAAAGCCAAATGTGGGTGGGATTAGTCCAAGAGCTCACTTTGGGGCTAAGAAACCAGAGAGAGGAGAACTTGTGCAGCTAGGAGGGAAAAGTGGAGTCCCAGAGGCTCACTCTTGATGTCTGAGTTTGCTGTCAGGTGCTGGGGAATCCAGCAGCCGTGGCCATGGTTCCTGGGGAAGCTCTGCTGTCGTCACGGCATTGCAAGAGGAGACTCAGCTCCTGGGGCTGGGCTCCGTGCGTGTTCTCCATCCATGCCCTGGCTGGATGTGCAAGGAGGGGGGAACGTTGGGATGGTTCTGGAAGGGAGAAGCCATCTCGCAAGAGGAGCGAGATGAGCACAGCAGCGTTGTGTGATGCTCTGGAAACCATAGAAACGGTTGTAAGGTGCTGATTCTACCAGGCACTGGGATCCCAGGGACTTGTTGGAGAGGTGACTCTTGGATCCGTTTGGCGACAGCCCCCGGAGCTCTGTGGGTGTTGGTAGGGAAAGGTGGGTATAAACAGACCCCATGTTTGTGGAAATGGGTAGATCTCTTCCTCTTGCTCTGTGGATCTTGCCCAGGGCAGGCTCCTGCTCTCCCTGGATCACTGGCTGAGGCACCAGCACGTCTGGGACCCTTCAGAGTGGTGCTGGTGCAGAACGCAGCGATGGAGTATTCCAGTGGAAGAACTGGGATTTGCAGCACGCTTCTCCCTTCTCTGCAGCACTGGGTTTGGTGTTGCCAGAGCAGCATCTGCCACAAAGCAAGCATTTAAGTCCCATCAGTTGGTGCTGGCACAGGGTAAAGAGTGTGGATTTGTGCTTTCCGGCACTTGCTGTCTGCTGTGCCTCTGATTGACCTCTGGAGAGTGCAACATATGGTGATGGATGATCAAGGCCCTTGCTCTGAACCTTCTTATCCAGGGACCTCCTGTTAAAATAGAGATTCCAGGAGGCTTTTTCCTTCTTGGGCCATGGAGAGAAGAGGTTTTCCTGGGTGGTTCAATAAGGAAAATGGGGCTCAGTTGCCTGCTCTGCCCCTGACTCGTGTGGCTGAGGGTGGTTGAAGCAAGGGAAGCACTAGCTCTGCTTGCCTGTGCATGGATGGGGAGGACAGATGCTCTCCAGTGGTCCTGAGGC